GTTACTATAGGAAAGTTATTTGTTTGTTAGAGAAAGAGTGTTTTGAAAAAGACTTGATTGGACTGCACGACAAAACTCAGCGTGGGAAAGTTCATGCGAGGGAAAACGTATTCCTATGTTTAATAACATAAGCAACCATTTCAAAGAGCTGTGGTCCCATCTGGTGAAGTTCTTGCCTCGGGGTGTGATACGAAACGCACCACGCGCGCACATCATCCTTCAGCAGTCAGCTGAACTTCGATGTTGGTATCACTGATACTAATACCAAATGTCCTTCATGTTCAGTAGTAGTAGTATGTATTGCATTTCGTTCGATATTTGCAATAGTCTGCTGATTGCTTGCCCACCTTTACGACCGGTAATGGCGTTAACCAATGTATCTATATGTGTCTAGGTATTGAATATTGCTTGGATGAGAGGTAAAAATACGCACTACCTTGTCTGTCGTCCTTTCTCTGCCACTTGAACAAAACACTCAAGGAGTTTTTTATCCTTTCGATGGTCTCATACCCCGTATTGTCACAGTATTTGCGAAAAGGATTTGTGCCAAGTACTATTTGATGATGATTATGAACCTGGAGACAGACTGAAGGAACGAATGGAGGCGGCTAAAACCGGCAAAAAAAAGGATTCGATGACGCAAATTCGAACGCAGCTGAGACAAGAAAAGACAAATCTAGTGGAGACAAGGCGACCGTAAGTATGTTTGAAGAAGCTACGCTGCTTTGAAGAACCGCGTTAGCACCTAAATGCGTGCAGCGGACAAAAAATCAATCAACTGACAAATTGCGCCGGTCTCCTCATACAAAACTGACGGAGTGTCTCTAAGTAAATGATAACACGTGACCTGGAGACGGCATTGGTAACAAAAATAGTGAGAGTTCTGTTGTGAGCTCGAGCAAGATCTGCTCGAGAAAACTAAGGCAAAAATATACGGAAGCATGTATAAGCGAAAGACTGTATTGACGCCTGTTTTGGCATGAGGTTAATCTGTAAATATTGCTACATAGTACAGAAAACTCGATTATTAAGTTCGGTTAACATTATCGAATCAGTCGGTTGTGATTTGTAAGTACATCAAGCTTAAATTTAAGCTGGCTCATTGTGGAACATAATATGCATTTGAAAATTCATCCGAAAACTGCTCGAAATAGAATTGGACGGCCAGAGAAAAATTTCGTAGAGTAGAACATCTGTTCGTTCCTGAACAACCCCTGAAGTATTACCCTTATGAAACAGGTAGAAACTTAAAGTTTCTAAGAGCCTTAGCTACGCACAGGCTATTTCATTCAAGTTGCATGAATGTTTTTCGTGTTGGGAGATAACTTTCTATTTGCAATTATTAGATACAAATTTTACTATGATACAGAATCACGAAAAATGTTGAAGTTAGTCTAATAATAATTGTACTCGAGATGAACGATTTATTGTGGAGTTTCATATAAGACTCAACTATTATAAACGTACAGGACATCGAAACGTTAGTGGTATGTGCACAGATTTAGTTCGCGGAACCATATCTACGGCCACGCAACAAAGGTATCATAAGGAACATTAAATATGTCACGTCCCGTATATTAATATTCACACGCCATGCGACAATTCCTGCATGTGCTGAACGGGGTAATTCCCACATCGAACCTACTGGACAACAAAAAGATGATTATTTCAACGTGCATCCGATACGATTCTTGTGTGTGGCAAATTCATCAAGGTCTGTGAGTTCGTTGTTCTACTTTGAATGTACGCGCGTGTAACTTGGAGCTTACTTGTATGTATTACTATACAAATTTAATCGAATGATCACACTCTACAATCTTACATAGATAAGGTTGGAAATTAATGCTCAACAAAGATATACTTTCGCTGTATACAGTTGTGGGAGTTTGAGAAAAAGTTGAACAAAAATCGACGTTTAGAGAAATACATTTTGGTGACGGGGTGCGCCAGGGAATTCTCTGCCGCAGGAGATACTAGCCTGCGTGCAGCGCTTCCCAATCCAGTCCTTCTGCAAGACCGGATCTCAGTTAAACGGGATAGTCGTCATCCGTACTGTGGCATCGGTAGAGTGCTAGTAGAAAGCACGATCTGGTATAATTGAATAGGAGGTTTTTCATAATCTGTATCTGATTGACTAATTTTCAACACAACCTTAACTAGGCACGTATTCACTCCCGAGAAAGACGTTAGCGGCATTTACAAAACTTTTTATGCTACTATAATTATTACTATAGCTAAACGCATTTTATGGCATTAAAAACTCATTGCTTAGGTTGCACGCGCATAATTACAACACGCACGTAATTGAGAACTATCCAAAGTGATGTATTGCTTCGGACTTTACACAGACCATGATGAAAATATCGCTGGTCAAATGTGCTAGTACCAAATCACAATATGCTGTTGTCTAGCAATAAAACGATGAATCGGAAAATCGACGGCCTACATTACCGCCAGTTATTGTGCGCTCAAACTTAAGGAACTTATGGAGGACATGCGTGGAAGGAAAAGAACATTATTAATTCAGTTTAGACTTGAATCTGGAAAATTTAGCAACGCTGCTCAAAAAGCTATTTTCGACACACGTAAATTACCACATAAATTAATAGCCATTCCATAATGATATCAAATACAGATTGCGTCGATCGTTTCAAGAGCTTCTGCTCGATTTGCATTTTGTGTAGTTTTTGACCGTTTTAAGCCTTTGCGTTTTTAAGACCTGTTATCGTCCCAAAATTTTATCTCGCTGACATGTTTGTGTGTAGCGTATCTTTGAGTGACACCTAAACGGGTTTACATCTATGTAAAAAATTATTGGTCTATTAAAAGGAGACAATTTATGGCTTAGAAGGTTACATTAGATACACTTTACCTTCAGCAATGATACTTGTTAGTGCGCCCGCAAACAATATCGTTGAAACGTAATGAAATCTTCATTTAGCTTCCGTATGTGTATATATATATAGAGAGAGGTGTATATATGAAGTGACTTTTGCTACCGAAGCAAATATTGCTGGCGATTACAGTGAGTCCTGCTATTAAGTGGTGTGAGCTTCGTTGGACCTCAACTATCAGAGGCCGCACAGGTTCGATTTTCTCTCGTGGGACAAGGTAGTGCTACATCATCTACAGCTATTACGGTTCGTACAGGCCCAACCCAACCTAACCAACATGAGCAGACCAAAGATTCGACCGAGTTTTGAAAACGCACGCCGTGAATTTTCAGACAGACGTTTCCGTAGCTGCACGTGGGCCGCTTTCTTAACGGCTTTCTATATTTCGGTCCACCTGTATTGAAATGTTCCCTCAACGCAAATTACTATAGCAAAGAATATTCAAAACTCAGTAGATACATTAAAGCATGTCTGTGTAGTTTGTGTTTATCAAAAAATTTATTAGTGATGTTTGAAATATATTGTGAGATCAATAATGAAGCAAAATAAAGTTTGCCGAGACTCGTTGCTTGTCGATTTTTTTTCAGCTTAGCTTTTGGCGGGAAAATTTAAAGATTGTTCACATCCGCGCGCCCGAAGATTGATCGTACTTCTATTGCATGAGTAACAGTACAGTGCGATACGTACCGGCGTTTTGGATGACCGTTTTATTCAAAGCACGTCTACAAGTGAGGCGGAGATGGACGTATGGGGTAAGCTATTATTTGTAGACGTGGTAAGCGGGTGAATTCTCTGTAAAGTTAGTAGAATTGACGAATCGCCTATCTTACAATCAGATCAGTCATTGGCTACCGGTAAATAAAGTGACGACTAACCTTACCTAATTTAGCTTTGCCGCATTTGCATCCTACGCACTTAGCATGAAACGTTTACACTGGTAGAGTAGAAAAAGGGCATCTCTAGTTCCCTAATAGTAAATGGAGCCACGTGCTTAATGGGTTCTTTGGCTTAAACACGTATTGTTAGTCGTGTCTAATTTATTTGTCGGCAACTGGTAAGTGCCGACTAATATATTGTTTTCGAAAATGTTTGCGACCAGCAGCATGCAGGTCAATTGGAACAAGCTACTCTACACCGCTATATCTAATATAAACTTAGTCAAGTATTTATTGGAAAACGAAACCCACATTACAGCCGTTCTTGGCGCGACAAAAGTAGTCTATCGTTCCAAAAGAGAAAACTAAATATTTTAATTAAAAAAAAAAAAAAAAATATATATACTTAAACATATCTCGTGTGGGAGCTGCTGTAACAGGCGACAGCCCCCGAGACTTTTTTTTA